AGCTGTTACCTACTCCAGGATTCTATAACTACACTACAGAGTTATGGCGACTCATTTTTCTTTTCCCATTTATTATAAAAAGAACAGAACAAAACAAATGCGTTTGATAGATGTGCTATTAAAAACTTTGGCATTATGGACTACAAAGGTTTTTGGGCACTAGCGTTAGGCTTTCTGTGGTTGCAAGGCAGTCACATCCCAGGTCATTACCACGACCAGGGTGAAAAATGTTGCCAGCGACTACATTAGCAACTCCCTCAGCTTTCTGTCACCAGGTGCGAGATGGATACTGAACCTTCGGAATAGGTTCAGCAAAAACAGAAATGAGATGCTTGGAACAGCTCACTGAGCACAGATGCTGGGTTCAAAGGGATTCATAAAATGAGCAGAGTAACGCTTGCAATATCTCTGGGAGAAGACGCTAACCCTTCCATCCCCTGAAATGCATCATCTGCAACTGGGACCAAGAGGAGAGTTTCCATTGCTGGGAGTTCAACTCCAAACCAGCATTTCCTGAAAGTGAGTTTTTGAGAACTAAATTCTGAATGCTTGATTTCCCACCTGAATGGGAATTCTTGGGGGAATGGGTGAGGTTTAAAAAGACATCTATTTGCCCACATTTTGAGCTATTTACATGCCCCCAAAGTACAAGTGCTTCCTTTCTGAAGAAGTCGTAGGGCACTCCTGGGGTGGTCAGTGGGCACGGATACATGTTAATTATGAGCAGTCGTCTATGACATAGTATAGTATCATTTCATAACACCCATGGAGACACTTAAATGAAAGTCACTGCTACATATGGCCTCTGGGCCCATGTTTCTACTCTCCCTCTTGGCCTGGGGGAAGCTAGAGGAACATTCCTCAATAGCACCCCATGCTTCTCCTTGACATTGTATCATACTGTCTCTGTTGCCTCTATTTCTGGCAGAGGCTGGAATGCTGGGGTGTTGTTATGCGCATGTCTTTGCTCCCTGAGGAGCTCAACAGTGCTCCGGGCTCCTAGGTGGCTGACCTGCCATAGGTGGCTGCTGATTTTCTGCCCCTGGGGCTCAGGTTGGGGTCCATTTCAAGAGTGCATGGTCTTGGAAATGAAAGGACATAGGGAAACATTTTCTATGCTCGGCTTAAGTAATTAAAGGACTTAAAAAGGATCCTAGGCATTTAAGTCAGGCGGCTTCCACCACCTCCCATGGGGGCAGAGCCTCTCCTTAGGATGACCTTATCTGATACCATTTGATATGCTTTTGCTTCTCCTTACTACTAGAGCCTAGAGACAGGAGCACAAGGGTTAAGAATGTGAGCTTTCGGGTTAGATCTAGATACTGGGATTCTGTCTCTACTATATAACCAAGGAACTAATCCCCCCTAAGCCTTGGATCATAACAGTCCCCGTCTCTTAGAGCTGGTGCATATCTTACGTGAGCTCATGTATGTGGAGTGATCGGCACAAGGTACACACTCAAAACCTGGCTCGGCAGAGATGTGCTGGGGCTGATGGGAGCCAGCCTGCCCCAGCTGGTTGGATCTCTCTCTCCTCCACTCCTACATTCATTGGACTCATGCTTGGCAGCTTGAACAATACCATGGTAGGCATATTTATACCAAGGAATCTGAAAACTCTTCAAATTGGGGCTCCCCCCCACCCAGAGAGTACGTTTCCCAGCACCTCACTGGTTTTTGATATCCAAATTATAATCCACTATCATTCACTAGCATATGCTGGCTGGCTGATTCACCCAAGCAGCCCTTCGCTAGCATCAACGGTATTCTTACAAATTCTTCCAGCGTTTCTACTTGTATGAGAAGAAGAGGTGATGCAGGGCAGAGGGAAGGCCAGCAGTTCATGGTCTTCGGAGGCTCAGTCAGACCCTTCTCAGAGACCAGCACACCTGAGCGTGAGACTGAACGGACAGCCTGCTCGCCAATATTCAGCAAGGCCAGCTGGGCCTCCATGGACCCGTTTTGCACACAGTCCCCCATGATTTCAGCACTCAGATACTGGGAATGGAGAGCAGCTTCCCAAGCCCATTCTGCCTGAGTGACTTAGCATCCTTGGGCCATTCAGTGTGACACGAACAGCTGAATCCAGCTGCTGGAGACAAAACCCCCAGGACACTTGGTGGGACTAAAATCAGAAATAATGACCCACTTAAGGCCCCCAAACCTCAAATGCTGACTCCAACCTTGTGGGCTCTGCATTAGCATTAATAATGATTTCCTTGAACTCACTCAGTGGTTCGGATAGCTAGCTGCACCTCATTAAGAAGTCAACCCCCTTTGCCTAGAAATGTGTACTTATGTCACTTCAGGCAAAGATCCTTAGCAAGATAAGCTCCTTAAACTGTCTGGCTGAAAGGGCAGTGCTCCCCATGACTGAAGGATATTCCAGGGATACCTCACATGAGCAGGATACATTCATACACATGAAATGCAAGCATTAATATTAAATGCATGGAATCTAACATAGGGTGACCGCTTAAAGTCTTTTTTCAACCTATGGTTCTTTTAAATAATAAGATATCCTACCTAAGTACAGGAATGGATATTTTAATTGAAAGTTTGCCTTGGGCTTTATGTGTTACAAAAGGCAAGCGGAGCCCTTGTTTTATGTTGAATTTTCTCAGAAAAAGACACTGAGAGAAAGGTTTGAGTGCAAGTACTTAATTTGAGAGATTACCCCAGGAAGCACCAGAGGGGAGTAGGGAAGTAAGACTGGAAAGGGAGGACAACCAGTTAGTGTGTTAATGAGAAAGTTCTGCTGTGGACAATCAGGGCTCAATACTGCTGGGAGCCTCTGGGCGATGGTACAGAATCCCGCTGTCCAATACTACATTTTGCCAATGATACTTGAAATGTGAAGAGTCTGATTTGGAATGTGAGTGTGAAATCCACACAAATTTCAAAAACTTAGTATGGAAAAATAAAGAATGTAAAATATCTGACTAATATAATTTTTATATTGATTATATGTTGAAATGATAATATTTTTGATATATTCTATTACATGAAATATTAAGTTAATTTCACTTGTTTTCTTTTTACCTTTTTCAATGTGACTACTAGAAAATATGAAATTATATATCAGGCTCACAGTTGAGGCTGCCGTTGTATTTCTACTGGGCAGCACCGGTCTAGCACATGCCTCAGATGTGTCCTGCAAGAGGTTGGCTGGATCAACCAACTGTCGGCCAACCTTGGCTGAGGTCTGCTCCAGAGAAATTAACCCCCCGGTACTTTGAGTTTTCTTTCATGAACAGAGACAAGCACTCAGCTGAAAGTCACAAGAACTTTCCTTAGAAAGCTGTTGGTATTATACAACAACAGTGAGAGCCAAGGGGATACAGGTAGGGAACCCAGAGCTGCTGTATAGTCCCTATTCTACCTCTTGCATTCCTGCTCCTGACTTTGAGATCCTCCGTCTGCTTCTCATGCCCTCTGAGTCCATGGTCCTGGGGAGACCACAGGAACAAGAGTGGGTAGAAGCTACAGTCACTGTTCCAGTGAACTGTTATGAAGGAAAGGAACTGATGCTACTCCTTCATGAAGACAGTGGGAGGTCAGGTGAGGGAGAGATGTAACTTCACAAGGAAAAGGACGATCTTAACCAAACCTTGCCCAACGAGACTGTCTGCCTCACAGTTTAAAGAGCTCCCTGTTTGTGGAGTTGCTCCGACCCAGGTTGTCAGTGATTTGTAAGGAGTTCTGGCAGCAACAGGATGTCACACAAAATTAGGGCCTCTAAGAGATCTATTTCAGTTTTGAAAACTGGCTCCATTTCATGTCTAGAGCAGTGTGATTGCCAAAATGAGAAACACGGGGCTCTCATCCCAGAGAATTAAGCCCTATGCCTTCTAATATCTGTCCGATATACTGAGTGAGAAAAGCAATCATCCACTGAGCGTTTACTATGGTCCAAGGAACATTTCAGGTATGATATCTCATTTAGTCCCCAAAACAAGAATGTACGGTAACAGTTATTGCCCCCCAAAGTGTAAACTGAGGCTTATACAGAAAACTCTAATTCATTCAGTGGAAGAGCTAGGATTGAATCCAGGCCTATTGCTTCATGCATTCGCTACCAAGTTCATATTGATCTCAGGCCAGAGCCAATGCTGTTAACCACTAGATTTCTCTCACCAAACACTGGTTGTTTTTGAGGAGTAGGCATGTATCTCACTTTCTGATAACGAGAGCAATACATCATATGTAGAGAATGCATTTTCCAAAGATGGCCTCAGCCATTTTTCAGGTCCTGCCTGCTGTGTAGAACCTCACTGCTCCCCATCAGGAAACTGAATCTATTCTCTCCTCCTCTGAGCCTGGGTGGGCTTGTGAATAACCACTCCAAAGAAAAGAGTTTGGTGGAAGTAATTATATGGGATTCTTGAGGATGAGTCTTAAAAGGGATATGCGTCTGGCTTGCTCACTCTCTCTAGAAAAAAACAAAAGGAAGCTGGCTGCTGGGAGGAAGCCCAGGTCACAGGAGGAGGCCATGCACAGGTGGTTCAGAAAACTGCCCCAATTTAGGTCTCAGCTAACAGCCCTGTCAATCACCAGCCAGACATATGAGTGAACAAATCTTCAGATGATTCTAACCCCCAGCTGCTAAGTCTTCCTGTTGAGGCCTCAGTGTGGAGTAGTATTATCAAATCACCCCTGCTGTGTTTGGTCTGAATTCCTGACCCATAGAATAGTTCAGCATGTAAGTGGGTGTTTTAGACACTAAGTTTTGGGGGTGATTTGTTACACACCTCTATTAACTACAACATCATGTTCCATTTTTACCTTAGCTATCAGGAAGCTCAAATTCAAGTTTAATGTTTAAATACCATAACTGCATTAGCTGTTATTTTATAATAACATTTCCTTAGTTTATAACCTTGAGTGTACATTTCTATTTTATTAACCTTATTTTGTCTTTCTTTGGAAAATATGAGGTATACATAAACAACAAAATGATCCTTGCCTATCCTGTAAGAATAAAATTATAAATTTAATACCTGAATCTTCTTTCATGTCAATGTCTTCTTCTTCATTATTATCATCTATTAAAAAATAAAACAAAGAAAAACTCTTATGAAAGCTAGAAACACCAGAATTCTCCAATTTGACTAATAAAAAATTGAAGAAAACAGTAGAAAAGAGAGTGTTAAATTATGCCTTTCTACTGTCTTATAGTATCAGGCTAAATTAAGAAGAAAGTGTACACATTAGAGCACAATTTAACACCTAGGGTTTACATTTCCTTTAAAAGTTATTACATATTTATAATAAACTATATATGAAATAATTTGTTTTATTTATCAAAGTGATATATGGTCACTTCGGTCATTTTAATTCCTAAAAATATTAAAATCACAGATTTTAAATGCCACATTTTCTGCATTTATTAAAGGTATGTATGCTCACCTCAAGTTTCTGAGAAAATGCAGGCATCACTATCTGGTTGTAGGCTGACAGAATGTCCAACCCCTGCATTACACCAGAAAAAGTGCTTGTTTGCTACACATGCAAATCCACACCTTTAACCATGTGCTTTCACATGCTCCCACCAGTTGCTCCATCCCCATTTAACTCCCCTCATCTCATCTCCTATTGTAGGTCCCTTTAACTGGACACAGATGTGTACTTCCTCTGCCTGCTGAATGACGTATTTGCTTTTTGAACTAATATGTGTTATCATCTCTTCTCCTTAAGTGTTCCTCACATCTAGGAGGTGCCAAATCCTGCCCTATTTCCATGTTTCTTCTTCTCTGCTCACATTATTACAATCCAAATTCCAGCTCTCAATGCCATTCACCTTCTCTGTTTTGTGGTTTCCCAATTGCCCTTTTCTTCTTCCCACTTCTGACACCAATTCCTTTGACACATAGCTGCCAAATCAATCTTGAAATACAATTCTGATCTTGTTCACAACCATTCAGTGACTCTTCTCTTGTCTAATGAGAAAAGTCTAGACTCTTTGGGGTAACACTCAAGGTCAACAAGATCTGGTTCCGAACACCTTTCTCAGTTTCACCACCCCTGTTCCATTCATGCTGCCACCTACACACATGACAACACTTGACCTTTTTCCCAATTTTTTAAGGTTTCCTTTAGCTTCCCCTACTTGCCTCAGTCCTGGAAGTAATGCTTTTCTCCACCTCTACTCACACTCATCCTTCCAGGCCAAGCTGAGGCAGCATAACATCTGCTCCACCCAAGTGTGATTGAATAGTGTCCTCTTTGGTACCTTATTTTTATTGCCTTCTGAGTATGGACTTTAAGGACCTTTAGGCTTAGATCTGCATACTGGCCCCTATATCCACTCATTTACTAGGTGTCTGATCTTGGAGAAATTACCTAATATTCCTGAGTTTCAAGTTCATCAGCTGTAAAGTGGGATAATAACAGTGCCTCCCACAGAGAGGTGTTATAAGGATTAAATTAGATAATACCACATAAAGCACTAGGACAACTACTGAAACATCATTAAGTGCTAAATAATAGCTATTATTACCATCAAATCCCACAGTCTTGTTACTTGTTAACCTACATGTCTTCCATAGACCCATTTCTAGGTCATAAATTCTTCAAAGATAAAGCTTATGTCTTATGTTCCTTTGTATTCCCTGGCACCTAATGCAATTGATTACACAGTAGAATCAATAAAGAAATTTCTGCTGAATTAAATTTCTGACTTTTTTTGTTTTGCTTTGTTTTTTACTTTTCTCTGATTTTTTATTAGTCAAATTGGAGAATTCTTATGTTTATATTTCTAAGTGTCTCTTACATATTAGGACAGCATGTATCTAGAAGACAGTCTGTAAACGATAAGGACTCAGTAAAGATTTGCAACTTCCTAGCCAAATTTATTCAATATGGCACTCTTCTAAGTATTAATTATTAATGACGATTAGCAATATACTAGTAGGAATGGAAAATGCCTTTAATTTGACGTGTTACAAGGGTAATTCTTGATGGTCACAGTTAAATTTTAAAGAAGTAAATTTTCTTCCATTCAGACTGTTAGAAACATTAGTGATTTTCTGCATATTTCTTTCTTTCATTCTTTCTATGAATATAATTTTAAGAGGAAGAATAGCTATTTCTTAGAAATGTGATTTCTAACCAAATGATTATGTAAATGCTACAAAGTAAAATCTTCACAGATTCTTTTCTGAACTTAATATATTTAAACAGAATTTTATTTTCCAGAACCGACTAAAATATCTAGAACCATCTCCATGACAACAGACTCTCTGGAATCTCAGAGTGGGATGGAAAAGAGTCTGTACAGTTTCTAGGGGAAAATAAAGGAAACGTCAAAGATCTCTCTGATTGTCCCCCAGGTGTCCATTTGTCCTTCTAACAAACACACTCATTGGTAGCTTAGTAGGTGCAAGGCTTGGTGCTTGGGGAAACAGAAAATACAAAGATGAATCAGACACTTAAGTAGAAACTTATCTAGTAACTTATCAATAGTAAGGAAACTAAGACACACAGAGAAATTTGAACATATGGTAGGGAATAGTCAGTGCCATTACAAAAGGTACCAGAGGAGGGACAGATGCTTCCAGTCAAGGCTACTGGGAAGGGTTCTCAGAAATGTGACATCAGAGTTGATATTTGAACTTTATAGACTGTACAGATAGCATCATCCCCAGAATGTTCCCAAGGTGTTGAAGGATCAGACTTGGTGTTATTATTCATTCATTCATTCACTCACTCACTCACTCACTCATTTATTCATACAGAAGTTAAGAATAAATCCAGGACCTATATTCAGACTGCTTGGGTTCACTTCCAGGCCAAACTATGTATAGCTGGGCAAACTTGGGCAAATTATGTAAACCTACTCCTCAGCTTCCTCATCTGGAAAATAGGGTTAATAAAATTACCATTCTTCTAGAGTTGGAAATACATGTAAAATGCTTGCACAGAAGGAACAATCAATAAATACTGGCTGTTACTGTTATCATGTCATTATGATGACTACTTTTACTGCCTAACCATTTATTGGCCAACACCATGTGCCAGAACTATGCAAAGCCCTGGAGATACAAGGTGACACTCCCTTCCCTCAAAGAGCTCACAATGAAGTGGGTGGCATAGAAAAGTAAGACAACAATCAGAAGAAGTAACAGATTCCCTGATGCAGGTGAGAAGTTCTGTTGGGAAACAGACAAGAGGCAGCTAAGTCAGAGAGGTCTATGGATGGTTTCCAGAAGAAGTGAGGCTTAAGCTGAGTCCAAAGGGTGAGCTGGAGTTAGCTAGGGGGAAGTGAAAGCTGCACTAGGTGCCCAGTAGGTGTGGGTGCCCTGCCTACACCCCTTGTGCCTTCACGCTTCAGTGCTTTGCCAGCCTGACCTCCAGCCACCAGTCCCTGGGTATCTTTGCCTGAGGGCTTTCTCTGAATTGCTGTGTCATGGAATTACCATCCCCCGCCCAGGGCAGCCTTTCACAAAATGACTGACAGGATTTGCATATAAGGCCTCCAGCTCCCTTACTTCTCAAGTGGCATGTTCTACACTGTCTCCTAGAATCTCCCCAATCGGAAGCATAGGATAGAGTCCCAGTGGTCTAGTGGTGATGGGCTTAAAACTTACCATTATTGCCTTCCTTCCCTTCCCTGCCTTGCTTCTCCACTCCCCTGCTGGTGTTTCCTGATATTTTCTCTCAAATAAATGATCTCCACTTGAATTTGTGTTTCAAGTCTGCTTCCGGGGTGGGGTATGGGTATTCAAACTAAGACAAGGGTAATCGCACTCAAGCAGAGGGAAAGGCAGCTAAAAACACCTGGATATGAATAGCCAAGATGCTTTTATGGAAATAAAACTAGTTCTGAATGGCTGAAGGGAAGAGTTATAGGAGGAACTATGGTTAAAGTGATCTGTTCTAGCTATCAAAGGATCTTCCATGTTCCATGCTGAATATGACGGTTAATTTTAATTTTATGTATCAACATGACTGGACCATGGAGTGCCCAGACATTTGCCAAACACTATTCTGGGAGTGTCTGGGAGGATGTTTCTGGATGAAATGAACATTTGAATCCGTAGACTGAGTAAAGCAGATTGTTCTCCCTAATATGGATGTATCTCATCCAATCTGTTAAGGCTGACCCTCCCACAAGTAAGAGGGGACTCCTTCTGCCAGACTACCTTTGTGCTGGGACATTGACTGTTTTGTGCCTTTGAACTCAAAGTGGAACATGGGCTCTTTCTGGGTCTCAAGACTGTTGGCATTTGGACTGAAACTACACCCTTGGCCCTCCTGGTTCTTAGGCCTTCAAACTCCTACTGTAACTAGACCATCAGCTCTCCTGGGTTTCCACCTGTCAACTGCAGATCTGGGGTGTTACAAGGGTAATTCTTGATGGTCACAGTTAAAATCAGCTCCTCCATAACTGTGGGAGCCAATTCCTTATATCTCTTTCCATATACATATCATTGGTTCTGTTTCTATGAAGAATCTTGATTAGTATACCAGGTTGAAGCATTTTAAATTCATCCTGAGAACTAAGCAACTTTAAGCGGAGGAATGACATACCATCTTTCGAGTGATAACATGTTTTCATGAGAGAAATTTACTAAAAATAAATGCCTTAATATTTTGGTATTTGTGTTAAAATCAAGCAAGAGTACTTTGGCCCATAAAGTACCTAAAGTGCCATTACTTATTAATGAAATCCACTTTAGTTCAACATTATTCTATATAATGTGCTCACCTGAGCCATATTTTTGCAACACATTTCTAGCAAGAATTTTTTTCAAACAAAAGCAGGGACCAAAAGACAATGTATAAAAGAAGATGATAGCCTATGGAAATGGGGAGTCATGCCACTCAAAATTGGGAAGCAATTAAGAGATGGATGGAGCATGGGCAGAGAGCTGCCCTTTTTAACAGTTCTTCAAACACCATACTTCTTCATTAGAGGACAAAAATAAAAGGCTCTCATCCAGGGACTTCCCTGGTGGCACAGTGGTTAAGAATCTGCCTGCCAATGCAGGGGACATGGGTTTGAGCCCTGGTGCAGGAAGATCCCACATGTGCAGGAGCAACT